GGGGGGTGTGCAAAGGTTTCATCTGTAATCTCAGCAACTCATTGTGTGAATGGAGAACCACCCAGATTTCTGGAGGATCAACACTTCTGAGGGTCCACCTTCATGTAGACAATGGCTTCCTACCCCCAGATCATACAAGCAGCCAGAAGCAGAATTAAAGTCCGTACCCCGAGGAGGACCACGTACCCTCTCCAACCGCCCAATAAACGAAACGTCGATGGAAGGCAGAAAAACGGTTTAATTGGACAGTTAATGATCCTTTGACAATGGAAGAGAAGCGCCAACACTGGAAAAGGAAAAGGCACGGGAACTTTTATTTACAGGAATCAATTTACAAAAATGTCAAATGTACAAGAGGAAGCTTCTTACATAATCATACAAGAAACACATAGCTGAGGGGGCGGGGACATGGGGAACATTCCGGATGTTCTAGGCTCTGCACCGTGACTGATGGGCCGAGCGATTTGTAGCTGCTCAGCAATCACTTGTAATAAAAAGACACCTGAAAGACAACTATGTTTAGATGTGTACAGAGTAAGAAGGGTTAAAAAAAACATCATGTGCCCCCACTGGGGAGCTCCTCCTCCTTCACTTCCTGTCCTATAGACCCAACAGGCAGTCCTCAGTGTCCCCACTGGCAGATTTCCGTTATTTCGGTTCTGGTGACACCGGTAACATTTTGGATTTTCCATCTTTGTCTTACAGACATTGGTCATCAGGACAAGTAGAGGGCCAATGTCACCAATCAGGACACAGAGGGCAACACAAACAAGCGTCAGTCCTCGATGGAGCCAACGAGCGTCCCCCTGTGGTGTAAGTTACTGTGCTGAACGTAACAATCGCTCCTTGTACATTACATTGTGCCACCAACCTAATGGCCGCGTGCTGGACCACAGAGCCGACACCACAGGCAGCCATTGTCACTATCACAGGATAGGTGCAGCAGTGATGATGTCACGGCTCTCTCTATGAAGTCATATCTGGCCTTGTACTGGATTTCTATCCTTTGCGGCCATGGAAGTTCAGCTTTAATGATTTGCAGCTACGAAATTTCTGGACTTTTATGTATCAGAATTGAAAATATTCGGAGCCGCCGTAAGGGATTGGCAGCCAAGAGCACAAGTGAGATGCTGTTTTCATTGAGAAATGCATAACGAATATGCATC